GAAGATTTTAAAATGCAGGATGGGGGCCTGTGTGGATCAAGGAGGAAGGAGACGTAGAGCTGGCTGGGGCCTGTGAAAGTAGCCATCTCATGTCATCTTCCCAGAAATTCGGAGGAAGGTGGTAGAATCCTCTTAGAGTCACAGGAAAGAAGCTGAAGCACAGAGCTGGAGAGCCATCCTGGGACTCATGGTTGCTGGGATTAGCCTGGTGAGCTGGGACTCTAGATTTCAGCAGGATCTGGAGCACAAGGGGCACAACATAGAAGGCATGTGGAGGGCCAGCCTGGTGCTGGCAAAGATGAGCCATGGTAAGAAAGAGAAGGAAGGCCCAGGTAGTGTGGCCATGCTGGCTGGACCCGATGGCTGCTCCAGAGRTTGAGGGTGGAGTCCAGTGCACCTCACAAGCAGTTAAGAGAGCAGGATAGGCTTTCAAAATTCTGCTGATTCGTCTGGTAACAGAAGCAGCATCTCTGAAGAAGAGGGTGGCCCCTGTGGACTTGGGGCATTAGGACTGGGCCTGCCAAGGAAAGCAAACTCCAGGAAATAGGGTTGCCCCCACCTTCTTACTCCGGGTGTGAGCAAAGTGCTTCTGTGTCACCAAGAAACCCTTCCTCCCTAAACTAGAACATGCGGGATTCTATGTCCCTCGGATCCTGAATGCCCCAGCACTTGGCAGTGATGTGTGGCACAGGATGTGCCTGTGCCTGTGCCTGGGGATGTTGGGGTATCTTGCAGCTCTGTTTCCCTATGTGAGCCAAGCACATGGAAGCCCTGGGAAGTGGTGTTGGTGAGAGGGTGCCCTGCCTGGCTCTGCAAGTGGGGATGGTGACAAGTGGAGGTGCCAGCCTCTTCCTACTGCCACAAGACCTCAGGGAAAAGTGGCCTTCAGTCCTGTGACTAGAGGGATTATTTCAGTATGAAAGGGGTGGGGGGTGGTTTGCAAACAGCCTCACAAAATTGAGGTAGGATGTGTGAGCAGTGAGGAAACCAGAGCCAGTTGGGTCCAGTTCCCAGCAGGGCATGCTCTTCATTTGGGTCTTGGAAGATCCTTTGTCTGCCCCTCTATGGATTGCTTCAGTCACCCATGTCCTGAAGACAAAGGGCCAGGACATCCAGGGAGAAACTCCCCAGCTCATGTTCTGCCTTAAAAAGTCAGGTGAATTTCTGATTCTCCTCTATACTATGTCTGTGCTTGTCATAGAAAATGTGTCTCAGGCCTTTTTAGGCAAACATACCAGAAGATGGCTCATATGTCTGTAACTTTGGTGCCCCCATCCCCCCAGCACAGCCATAGTACCCATTCCATTTAGAGGGCCTGAGACAGACAGTGCCAGTCTCCATCTCCTGGGGCCTCTGTGCTGACTTCRCCCTGCTGATCCCTTTGCTGTAGCTGAGTCATTGAGATTCTTGGCTCTGTCTCGTAGTAACCTTAGAGCAGTGGGGCATAGGTATTTGTTGGAAAGTTCCAGATGGGCACATGAGGGTCCCCACAGGTGCCAGCACCAGAGTGTTGGTCATGTGAATGGCACATGAAGTCATCTAGGGCTCAAGCCTGGCTCTGCTCTAAGCCTTAGTCACTCTGTCTTTCCGGCATTGGTTGTGCTTCATCACCTGAGGAAAGCCTCTCAGGTGAATGGAACGCATAGTCATAGGCCCAGTGCACTGGGCCTGTGGACTGCTGTGGGCCTGGAGAGTTCTTTGACCAAGCCCTGTGTCAGGAGATGGCTCAGAGGTGGGTTGGTCGGAACATTCTTTGCCATCTACCGAGGCTTTGGCCCTGCCATTTCTAGGGGCCCCAAACTTATCTGGGTTAATTCACAGTTTTGTTTAGCATAGGAACTGGCTACCAACAGCAYTGAGAGCCTGGGAGATGGATGTCCCTGCATGGGCAGACAGCATGGCCACCTGAGGCCAACCATGGCCCAGAAGAGAAGCTTCCTGTGTGGTCTCAGCCTGTCCAGATAGAGGTGTTTTGGTGTCCTCACTTATGTTCATAGGCACAGACCTCTCACAGAGCACGTTGGGTGGCAACAGTGATCCTCACAGATTCAGGCCCCTGATCCCCAGAAATGGCTTGCCAGACCTGAAAAGAGGACCTGCTTAGTCAAAAGACCTCCTTTAACCAGCTCCATGTTTTCTTCCCATAGTTGGACCCAGGGTGCTGTTTGCAGCCAGCCCAAGGCCAGCCTTCCCACAAAAGTATGTGTGAGGTGGGAGCAGGGTGAGGAGACATGGGGCTGTAGCCCTGCCTCTGGGAGTCTTGGCCCCTAGATCAGCACAGACCCCTGGTCTAAAGGGAGGCTGGTAAACCACAGGCCAGTGGCCCCACATCTCCTCTCATGGCACAGTGTGGCCAGCATCTCCCACCTCGTTGCTGCCAGTCAGATCAGACACTGTGATCACAGGGTTCTCCCTCAGTCGAATGTGACTTGTTTTTGTTTTTACACCAAGGCCTCTAAAGAATTGGTCTTTGGAAACGTGGAAATACTTTTAATAGGAATGGGAGAGTCTACAAAGTTGTGTGTCTCACAGCCTGTTTTTTCTTCAAAGTGGAACTGGGAAGAGCCTTGTCCCAAGAATACTAAGGAAAAAAATGTGTAAATCCYAGGACATAAGAGATTCTAGTTTAGTATGGATTTCTCTCTTTTCTATCAGGCCTCAACAGAAATTTGTGTTTGTTTGATTGCTTGTTTGTTTGTTTGTGGTGCTGGATTGAACCCAGGGCCTGTGCATGCGAGGCAAGCACTCTACCAACTGAGCTATATCCCCAGCCCTCTCAACAGAATTTTTTAAAAAGCTTTTAAATCATCATTGATGTTTGTATACACAGACAATGTCATGTACCGTAGAGTTCAGCTTGTTTGGACAGGTGTGTATGGAGGTAGTCATTACCACCACAATCAACGTACACTTGTATCCCCCAAGAAGTCATTCCCTGACCTCCAGGACCTTTGTGGTCAGTCCCCTGCCCCAGGCAACCACAGAGATCCAAGCCTTGCTGTTTCTGTTTCCTATGTATCAGCYTCTCCGTTCTTGAGGTAGGTCTGCCTGTGGTCACCCAGGCTATGGCTYTGCTGGTTGGTGTCATTTGCCCGTGCACATACTGCTCTTTCTGGGGAGAGCTAAGCAATGATTTCCTGTTCAGAATCAGCTATGTTGTGGGAGCTTAGCTGATAGGACTTCTAGAGCTCTGCCTGGGGTGAAATGATGGGTAGGCATCTTGTTCCATCCTTGACTGGGGCCTGCAGACTGTTGAAGCTGAAGGCGGACTCAGACATAAGCCATGGTCAGGTTGGCAGGCACAGYGACCTTGAGCAGCTGGTATGGCTGAGTGTCCAGGTCCCTTAGCTCTCTGCACAGTGCCTGGACTGAGGCAAGTAATGATAGTCCTTCCCTGACCACATTTATCATGAAAAGTTTCAGATATAGAAAAGTTGCACATATAGGGTGATAGATGCCTGTGGTGTGCCCTGCTACCCACTAGGTTCAAAAGTTGATAGCTTTTTGTCATACTCACTTCATAGGTAAATTTATTTTTGAGCCATTTAAAACAGATATCATGGTTCTTCACTCCCCAGTATTTCGGTGTTCATCTCCTGGGAAAGATGTTACCTCTCTGCCTTATGGCATGTAAGAAAATTAGTAATAGTTTCATAACATTCCCTCCTGGCCAGGCTGTTTGTCTCCCCAAAGTGTTGTTTCAACTTTATTTCTCTGGTAGGGCTTTACTTATTATATCTAGTTCTCCTTGTCTCTTCTCATTTACTTTGTATGTTTGACTTTGACTTCCTGAAAAGAATTAATGTGGAATGTCAGACATCTAAGTTTCTTGGAGCTCTTTTCTCTTGTTGTTCTGTGCTGAGTGTCATCTGCAACTAGGAAGTTTGGTCTAAAGGCTCCATTGGGTTCAGAACCAGTTTGGGGCAGGAAACCCTGAAGCTTGGGCCAAGCTTGAAGCACTGGTCCCAACCCAAGGCCTGAGAGGCAGGGCTGACCTAAGGCTGGGGAGGGCCCTCCGCTGGATGCCTGTCAGCAGGCTTTTACCTCTCTGCCTCTCACCTGCTGGTCTAACAGTCTGATGGCGTCTGGGTTCTGAGATTTCCTTTGGTAGTTTCAAAATAGTGACTTTATGATTCTGTCATTATTTCYACTTTTACTGAATTTTGTTCTTTTGTGATAACTTTTCCTCAAAAAAAGAAATAATAGACTAACACAAAAAAGAACTTTTCCTTGGCCATTTAAGRTGAACTGCACAGTTCCTCCTAGGAAGACAGGGTGAATGTGTAACCCTTTCCATTTTGATTACTATTTTTCAACTTGAAAAAGAGGAAACTGTTTTCCCTTTTGTCAGAGCCCAGCTCTTGGGCTCCCTCCCTCACTTGCCTTTTCTTCCTTTCTTCTTTCTCTCCTTCCTTCTTTCCTTCCTTCCTGAGTAAAACAGGCGGCTGCTCAACCACTAGCCTGGGCTGAGTGTACTTTCTGGGTTTAAAAATTGCTGGCAGTTGATTTGAACTCTGGGTGCCTGTGTTTGCTAGACGGAGGAGAAGTTGAGTATGATCCACTGTGGTGCTAGCTAGCACTGCTTGCCTGGGACACCCAGCCATTCCCTGGCCCCAGGGGAATGAGCCCCATATCTGTGTTTGGTTGCTGCCAAGCYATGATTGGAAGAAGTCGGGCTGGCTGGGACTGTTGTGCTGTCTRAAGTTGTGGGACGCAGTCATAAGACATGAAGCCAGGCCACTCTGAGGAGCTGTGGCACCTCAGAACAAAGAAGAAAGAAAAACAGCCCACAGGCAGCTTGCTAGCTCTTCCTCATCTGCAGAAAGGATGTGACCGTGACACCTGGAGGCTATATGGGTGTGAGAGAAGACACTCCATCATGGGAAGCCCCAGGTCCCCTCCTGCCTACCTACCTGCCTGCCTGCCTGCCTGCCAGGGTCAGTGTACAGAAGAGAACAGGTGAACGAACTGTGAGGTAATGCTGCCTCCTCTCCCTGCAGGTGTGAATGACAGAGGTGGTGCCATCCAGTGCCCTCAGCGAGGTCAGCCTGCGTCTCCTCTGCCACGATGACATAGACACTGTGAAGCACCTGTGTGGTGACTGGTTCCCCATCGAGTAAGTGTTGGGCACCTGTGTCCCAGCTACAGGATGCAAGGGTGAGGGGAGAACATGTATCCACAAGTGCTGAAACTGGAAGAGGACCCATCAGCCCATGTTGTCAAAATGTACAGTTAGGAGCAGGCCTGGAAGGGCCATGGCAGTCCAGAGTTACCAGGAGGGCAGTGGAGCTCAGCCCCTGTGTCTGTCTGCTCCACGGCTCTTCCCACCTCACCTCCTTTCTCATGTGAAGTTCCCCAAAAGAAATCTGCTCAGAAATTTTAATTACAGATATGTTCAGTGAAGTGCTATATATAATGCAGAGGTCTCTTCTCAGAACTTGATGGGCCTAAGGCCTCAGGCTCTCAGAAGGTGGAATGATGGTCTGTGCACTGTGAGATAGCAGCACTACATTCTGACCACAGGGCCAGCTGTGCACCCCTGGAGCTCGGAGGAGCTTGGGCAGTACTCAGCCCTGTGAGGAACTTCTCACTGGATGGTTGGTGTGGCCTTTGCAGAACTGAGTAGGGCAGAACGCTGTGCCCCTGTATCACGTCCTTCTGCTCTTGGTCTGAAGAATGTGTCCAGTCTAACCTGTTAGGTCTCTCCCATCTTTAAGAAGGAAAACCCATGAATCCCAATGCCTTCCCCCGCCTGACCTGTGCTGGATCTGCCTGACATGACCACATCCTGGGCCTTTGCATGAGGTGTTCTCCATGTTCCCCTGGGGGTGGGGAGTGCATCTCGGCTTTCTTGGTGAGCAGCCCTAATGACATGTTGCCCTTGAGGTTGTGTTCCCCCCTTCTCGCCCGTCCAGGGAAGTTTTGGAAACTCAGAGCCACCCACCTGTGAACTTGGCTCTTCCTCAGATCATTTCCATGAGTTTTCAGTGCCAAATCACCCAGTGTCCTGGGTTACCAAGAGTCCTAAGATCTCAGCTTGCCCAGATGAGAAATAGGCCACCTTGTGCTTCCCTCCATGAATTGCTCCATGGAGACAATTTTATTGGAGTTCTCTTTCCTTTCTCATATCTTAGATCTAGTAAAATCATTTTTACATCAGCAATTCCCATTCCTGCCTGGAATGTTGGCTGCTTTTTAGAAGAGAGCTGTGACAGGTAGTTAAGTGATGGCCAGAGCCCCACAGGCTCACCTGAGTGTGTCTTTCCCCAGGTACCCAGACTCATGGTATCGTGACATCACATCCAACAAGAAGTTCTTCTCCCTTGCTGCGACCTACAGAGGTGCCATTGTGGGAATGATAGTAGCTGAAATTAAGAGCAGGACCAAAATACATAAAGAGGTACGTCTGTGTGGTGATAGACACAATAGTCACCGGACATGGCTGCAGGGGGCTTGCGATAGAATCGCACGAGTGCACTGTGGCCCTGTGTCTCAGGAGCCTGTGACCTGAGGGTTCAGAGCAGCGCATGAGACTCGTGTCCGGTCCACTTCTGTGTGTACCTGACATAGGAGTATGTGTGCCTTCACACATGTAGCAAGTAATAAGACCTCAGCAGGCCTAACAAGGACAATCATTTTGAAGCAGGAATGATACATTGAATATTTGCACAGTTGTCATGTGATACAAAAATGTCTGATTTGTGTTGATGGCAATGCCATAGAAACTGCCAGTCCTACTGTGGTTTGTTCAAGGAAATGCTAAGTTCCAGCTCAAGTCTAGTGAAAGTAAAGATACACCCAACCTCACAGATCCCCCTCAGGCCTCCCTACCTACCTCAGAATGCTGAGCATCTGCAGCACCCTCAGGTTAGCACGCCATGCTCTAAATATAAGCTGTAAGGCCACAGGCACACACCACATTCCTCCTGACTGACTTTGATAGATTCTGCTAGTAATTATGGTCATAGTGACCCAAGAGTGTTTACCACACTGGTATTTACTCCAAGGAGGGGGAAACCTGAGAGCCTGCCTAGCCTGCATGAGGCCCTGGGTTCTATCCCCAGCACCAAACAAAAAGCAAGGAAGGCAACATCTCTTCCTCTTAAGGAGCCAGGACCACTGATGTCTACCCCATTTCGTGTGTGATTGTTTTAGCGCAGTTGTTTTCATCTGAGAGTAGCTTTTTCTAGCCTAGCTCCTCCTGAGCCTCTTCTTCCATTGTTCAGTGCTAAGATAGCAGAGAGAGAGCAAGATCAATATTCTTTTGATCTTTCCTCTTCTGTGGGACACTGTCCCACTTTCTCCTACCTTGTTACCTGTTTCTCCCTCTTGTAGATTTTTCCTAGGTGCCCCCAGGCCATCAGCCAGCTTCCCCACAAGAGTGACTAGAAATTTCTGGAATGTGTTTGTTTTCCCTCCAGGCAGGCTTGAGGACCATTTTGCTCTTGGACTTCAAGAGGGGAACCTCTACACCCCAGCACTCACGTGGGCCTTTCTGAGAGACTTGGTGGGTTCGACCCTRGGGAAGGCAGGGCCACTTAAACACCGTCAGCCAGGGCTTCAAGCAGAGTCTACATTTGCTGGGTTCACTGTGGGTGGGGTGCTGACTCAGAGCAGGGCCCAAGCCTACCCCACCCGACATGATTGGAGAACAAAAAGGCTGAGTCACCCAGCGTCCATCCTTAAGGAAGCAAACCACACACCTGGCAGGTCCTTCCTGTTCTTTATGAAATGGAAGAATTAAGAAGCTGTTGGTGGCTGGATTCACCATTGTCCCATGCAGGGCTCTTCGTGGAGATGCTGGTGGAGCCCTGCAATGCTCTTCCTGGCATGGGTAGTGGAGGAGGGCATGTGTTCGCCTGCACACCCTCCTCAGGACCACCGGGGGCATACTTGTCTATCTGTCTCATTGCACTGTATTGAACACCTGCTACATGTCCCTGCTGGACAGGTGTGCCTTTGTACCTGCCGTAAGCTACCAAGTTCTGGCACGAAGCAGCCTCTCATCCTGCAGAAAAGCCCCTCGTGGTGCATCTTCACAGTAGCCGCCCTCTGCCAGYAGGGCCCAAACGCTCTCAGTTCCATGGGCAGGCAGGGTGACTTTCCCTTACCCTCTTTGTTCTTCCCTTCCCACCCATGTGGCTCCAGGTCTCAGGGCCAGGGGAGTGGGCACGTAGACCACGGAMAGACTCTGCAATGTACTCTGTGCCTTATCCTGACTCCATCTCTTTCTCTTTAGGATGGAGATATTCTAGCCTCCAACTTCTCTGTTGACACACAAGTTGCGTACATTCTAAGTCTGGGAGTAGTGAAAGAATTCAGGAAGCATGGCATAGGT